CCACTTGCCACCTGTTAAACTCCCCTCCATTTCTTTGCTTCCCTGATTACTACAATCTTCAAAGATTTAAATACAACATTATTCACCATCTTCTATCCACTTGTTGTTGAAGGTATTGCATCCTTCCATTACTGCCATCCATGGTCTTTTCAGAAGCCCTCCTAGTTGCGAACCATATTCATAATGAACAGAACCAGTTAACATATCTACAGTGATAAATAACACTAATATTTATTATTTACTAGAGGTCAAGAAAAAGCAAGTTAGTTTAGTAATGTTGACCTTTAGTTTAAGGTCGTATGTTTTGACTCCTTAATCTGATATTATTGTGGCCTTCTTAGGACCAGAATTAAAGACACAAGAGAGGAATTGGATTAAACAAATATATTAACAGAAACAGTAATGCAAATATATACAAACAAGAGTGTTACAGCAAGAATGTTCGGTCTGACTGTCAGAGCTGATTGCTGGAAACTTCCATCTCCAAAAGGCAGTATCTGCTTCTATTAAGAGAGAGTTCATGTGTGTGTGGGTAAATTACTATAATAGATATCAATCATATTTATTGATGAGAGAACTGTAACTTGTGATTTATAAAGCTAATAAAATGAAAAAATCTCCAAAACTTGTTTAAAGAACTGAACACATTTTACTTGCAGGTTTTCTTTCTGACTGCCACAACATTTCTACTAATCCCATTCAAAGAAAGATTGAAGGAGAATGTAAAAATTACCCTTTAGCACTGTGTATGTAACTATTTTCACCAAGCAAAAAACTGTCAATGTTAAATTTGAATTTTTGGTTTGTATAGCCATATCCTTCTATGGCAACTCCTAAAACAATCTTGACTAAAACTGAAAGCCAGGTTACTGCAATTTCAAACATATAGAACTAATATATTAAAGAAGCTGAGTAAACTAACCTTGCAGATAAAAATATAAGATTTAGTATAATATGGCATTCTTTGCATAGTAAGGAAAGAAGTAGAAAACAATCTTTTTTTTTTTAATCATTTCACCCCAAACAAGGCAATAAAGCCAGTAAGATGCAAAGTGTTACTGACTGTGAAAGAATATTAAAAAAAAAGCATTATAAAGGAGAGAAAACAATAAAATAGCAGGAATTATGAAAAGAGAAGATAACACTTGACTTTACATTTAAAATTTTGAAGACCAAACTTGATTGGAAAGCAAGAAGCCAGGAGCGAATTCCATAAATGAAAAGTGTGATAGAAGATACTTATAGCAAAGAACTCATGGTTACATCTCATACTGTGCTTAAATTCATAAAGTCTAGGTACTATAGAGGAAAGTAATATATATTTTAAAAAATACAAAAATGTGACACAAGGTCAAAAGGGGGATAGTGAAAGGCTGGTCTTCAATCTGTCTTATCTTAAACTAAGCTAGCCACAATTACTGACCCAAACATAACACAGTATTCCTTACACCAAAACAAACACATTCTTACTTACCATTCTTACAACAACCAGAATAATGTCTCAAATTCTCTATGTAGTCTTAACTAGTTCCTATATGTACAAGTTATCTGTGTGGGGTGGAGAATAAAAATAACAACTTTTAAAAAAGAAGCCCCAATGAATATTTACAATGCTTACAATTTTAGATATACAAAAAAAATTTTAATAGAGGAAAGTTCATCAGAATAATTACCATGAAAATATTTATAGAAAAGACACAGGGAAGCTATGTTATAGCAGTGGGAAAGAGGCTGAAGCTGAGACGCTTGGTCAGGACCAGTAACATTGCAGATTTTTCATCATATTTTATCAAGAATCTCTAAAAAACATAGCACAAGCAGATGTGGCAGCAATATTCAATGCATAGATGAATGATAGATTTTGGTGAGAAAAAATGTCTAGCACAACACAATGAACAAACTTTCCTAGCAGCAGATATAGTAATTATTTCAATAGAATCTTTTATAAGATTATATTTTAAGGAGAAAAATACCAAAATGATTAGCACTATTGTGCATATACACACACACACACACACACATATATATATATATATATATATACATACACATACAAGGTATGATGGATAAAGTGTTGTCTAAGTTACGCAAAAATTAAAATAACACTGAAATCTCATTTTAACAGATATATTTACCAAAATTAAACAAAAATATCTTGAAATATGAAAGAGTAAATTTATTCAATAAAATCATCATTGTGAAGTGAAAAATGCTAAACTTATGTAGTGTATGATTTTTAAATTTTATGATGTAATCCTACTCATACAGTAATGTCAAGGGAGGTAATTAAATTATTAAGATGTCTATCTGTTTTTTAAACAAATCTATTTAAAGCTATTAGTTAAAACCTAGATATTTTTAAACTATCTATTGTAAACATTTTAAAACATTTGTGCAATATTCATAATTAATTTGATTAAGGGTTCGTTTCAGTTATTTAATACAGATTCAAGAATTTTTAGTTTATGTTTATTATTTTCATGAAATAGTATGGATGTATTTTCAATCATAATTTTTTCTAAATTGTGAATGTGGATGGGCATGTTGCTGTAAATGTTTAGAAATGTTAGACTGAAATGAAAACTCAACCTCTGAGACAACATATATATATTTCTAATGCATATAGAAGAAGGAATTGCTTATTTACATGCGTTTCTGTGAATAATTTGGTTCAAATAGTAACTTTGCAACCATTTTTTTAAAGTCTGCTGCTAATTTATGATTGGCTCTACCTAAAAAGAATTGTACAAAGATTTCTTGAAACACAGAGTTAATGCTCCAAATTATCATCCAAATTTTGCCAATATGTAAATAGCATTTAATTTTATATACCCATTAGTAAAAAGTTTTATAAGGAAAACTGCAAAATAATGCAGTAAAAGAAAGTGAGAAGGAAACACTATTATTTGTAAGAAGATAGAATATATTGTTGTCATCAAAAGAGGTAGCCTCGGGGTACAAGCTACAAATTGGAGATATCAAAATCAAGCAAGTTCATAAATTTAAGTATCTGGGAAGTATTTTAACAGATGATGGAAAATATGAGAGAGAAATCTGAAGAAGCGGAAGAATAATGAAAGAAACTAAGCAAAGTATTAAAAGAGAAGAAAATTTTATTGGAAACAAAGAAAAGGGTGTTGAACTGCTATATGATATCAATCTAATAGTCTTATATGGAAGGGTAAGCTGGACAATTTCCTCACAGATGAAGAAGAGGTTTAAGACAACAGAGATGTGGTTCTACATTCAGATTCAGAGAATATCATCAGCTGTGAACAACAAGGAAAGTTTTGGCTATATTTCTGAGATGAGGTATTATGCATATTATTTACATTATTCGGACAATTGTCCTCATCTTTGTCGCCATATTTATCACAACGTTTCGGCTGTTGTATGCTCCGGCCTTCTTCAAGTGGTTGTAATGTCAAACTGAACCCTTTATTTCGCTCACTGGGGTAGACTGTTCTAGTTCCACGTGCTCTGGTTAAAAAAAAAAAACATGCAATGATAACAGCAAAACTGCAATATGAGCACTGGTAAAAATGGTGCTGAAGATTAGGTTTATAATACCCAGAAATTCATACCCAGATGTCCTCAAGGAAACATGGCACAGTGGATAAAGGCATTGGTTAGATCCAGTGACAGGACCCAAAGAGTATGAGTTCAATACCTGATTAAGGCAGTGGAGAACTTTCAGAGGGAAATTAACAGGAGATAACTGACATCCATCAAATATGGATTTTTACAAAAGTTTGTTAGGTAGGTTGATCATGGCTCTCCACAACTTCCTATCCTTTGTAGCTCTTAGCAATGATTGTCTTTTCACTATCCTTCCCAGCCCCTGTACTGCCATCTATTTGTTAAGTTACTCACTGTTTCCATCAGTCCTTCCTGCTTTCAATGTCTTGTGTGTCAAATTTTTCCAAGTTATCTTTCCTCATTATGTCCAAGAAATTTCAATGGCCTCTTCTTGATTCTCTTTTTTTGTTTCTATTTTCCTTAAAATTTCCTCATTACTTACATTCTCCATCCTTGGTATTGCCAGCACCCTTCTGTAAAAACACATCTCAGTTCTTCTCTTCATCTGTGAGGAAATTGTCCAGCATTCAATGCTGTATAGGAAAATTGATATTCAGAACATTGTCAATCAAGGCTTTCTACAATTTCCTATCCTTTGTACATCATAGCAATGATTATCTTTTTAAAATCCCTCCCCTGTTCTCTGTTTCATCATCCATTTACACAAGCTAGTTAAGTTGGTTACTCACTGATTCTCTCTGCTCCTTTTGCCTTCAGTTTATACCGTGAGGGACAAAATTTAACAACGTTCTTTCCTTATGATGTGTCCTAGAAATTTCAATTGTCTCTTTCTGATCTAAGTATAAGTGTTTCTTTTTATTTCTACAGGGTGTGGCAGAAATATGTCCCACATTTTAAACTGTCACCTCTGTGGTACCAGGGAACTTGGGCAAGTGGCAATAGTGTCTTCATCTAGGTAATGTCTTAACACTTTTTTTTTCAGATACCATCAGTTAGCATCATGGCTTGGACTTGTCTGCACCATTCATTTGCTGATGAAACGTTTTTTTTTTTTAAACTGGAGAGTCTCTAATCCAAACCCAGTGTGCTTGTTTCATGTTACATTGGAATGATGCTGCTTTAAATAATTTCAGGGCCACAGGTTCTGTACTTAAAAGAAAGCCACCTGGAAGAGCTCAAATTTGTGAAAAATTGATTGATACTTTCATTCAATTTTTAACAGTTTATCAACCTACTGCAGGTTATTTACAGCCAGGAAAAATATTTTAGAGTCTAATTTTTTTTTTTGCAATAATAATGGTTTATTGATACAAGTGTTACTAATTAACCCATAGCTGGGAGGAGAAGATACCTTTCCCAAGGGTATTTGCATGTAAGTGAATATAACAAACCAAATTGGAATTCAGCTCTCAGATTAACGATTCCAAGCCATTATCCATTACACCACACATACATCAAAGCTTACAGCACCTGGTATTCCCAAGCAGTCATTCATCTAGGTACTGATCAGGCTCAATGTTGCTTAACTTTGGTGATTGTATGTGAACCGCTGTGTGACAAAACTGCTGTACAACAAAACTGTTAAAATACTGTTACTTGAAGAATAAAGTAATTTTAGCCCCATTAAACCGCCATTTTTAATTAAGTATAAATTTTTCTTCTTTTATATGGCATGACCCTTCAGAATATAAGCGATCATGGCTCTCCACAGTTTCCTGTCCTCTTAGTAAAGCTTGTCTTTTTGTTATCTCTCCTAATGCCTGATCTGCCAGCTATTTACACAAGCTTGTTAGGTAGGTTATATGCTGCCTTTGTCTGTCCATTTTGATTTCAATATGTCCTGTGAGTATGAAGTATTGACAATCTGGTGTTTCTTTATTGAAATTATGTTCACTTTCTTACCATTTATGTGAGACAAAATATATTTAAAAACATAATCAAAAATTTTCAAGTAATGATTACATTTTTGTATGTTATTGATTGATTCATTTTTTACAACATCAATACTTTGCAGGTTTATTTAAAACCAGAAAATATTTTTGGGATTGTAAGAATATTTTGGGGGGTGTGGGTAGGGATTAATAAATGATTTAGTGATACAAGTGTTACTAATTAAGCCATAGCTGGGAGAAGAAGATGTGGATTCATACCTTTCCCAAGGGTATTTGTGCATAAGTGAATATAACGAACCCAACTGGAATTGGAACTTGGCTCTCTGATTAACAATTTCAAGCCATTATCCATTACACAACATGCACATTACCCAGGATTTAGAAATCATTTAAAGCAGTGAATAGAAACCACTATTTCAAGGATGTCTTTTTAAAAAATGAAAGGAATACAAACTATAGCTCTTTGTTTAAACAACAGTGAAATGAACCTTTTTTTTTTATATCTGTTACGTCAGACTTTTTGTCAACCTTTAAAATGTGAGAGGTGTTTCTGTTGATCCTTGTATTTTCCTTAAAAGTTCCACATTCGTCACCATTCTGATAATTGCTGAAAAAAAAAGATGTCTGTTTGAACATCAGTGCCATGCTTAAGGATTGGCTACAAAAATGTAGGAGGCATGATGGGAAACAGTAAAAAGTTATAATTCTTTAATTAAATATATGATATTGGCAGTTCTTTCAAATGATTTAATATCAGATATTTTTAGGGAAGGATTCTTTCACCAGGCCCAAACACTTTCTTATATACTTACTCTTTTTTTCATACTAAGTGTTGTGTCGGAAACCTACCACCCCTCTTGAAGATGAACTTGTCTGTGAACAAAGACTTTAAATAGTGGCATGTCAGTTGACATGGCGAAGAGAGCTAGACAGAGAAGTTCTTAGCTGAGCTAGTTATTGACTACTCAGGCAATTTCTGTACCTTTTTACCAACCTATTAAAACCCTTTTTATTGTTATGTATTGTTTGGCGTTTGTCTCTACTAACCCCAAATCAACATCATAAAACTAAGGTTCACCTAATGTAAGGGTAGAGGGTTACTAGATGGTGTTGCAGGAGTGTAATAAAAAGGCAACATTCATGGAGCTATGCAGGAAAGATAAGGGTTAACTCTAGACTTGAAAAGGTCAAGATTATAGTGATTGGGAAAACATTGTACTGGGAGTCTGTTCCACAAAGCAGCCGTCCTTGGTAAAAAGCAGTCCAAATGGAACTTACTAATTAAATCATCTGTTCTCCTTTATGACAGCAAATGTTGGATGATTTCCTCAAAGATGAAGAAGAGATTTGAGGTGATGGAGATGTGGTTCAATAGAAAGATGCTAAGAATATCATGGACTGAGCATGTGAGCAATGATGACGTCTTAGAGAGGTTACAAACAAGGAGGAGGTTTATACTTAACATCAGGAAGAGGCAGCTGAAGTTTCTGGGACACATAATGAGGAAGGAGGGCTTGGAGAATCTGATACTCACGGGTCGAATAGAGGGAAAGAGAGACAAGGGAAAGCAGCGTGTGACGTACCTGACGAGCTTGAGCAGGTGGATGACCGAACGTGGTCTGGGGGAGGAAGCAGAGGGAAGGAACTTGATGAGAGCTGCAAGGGATAGAGGGAGGTGGAGAGCCATGATCGCCTACATCCTGATGGATAAATTGTCATCTAAATTACACAAAAATGAAAATAACACTGACATCTTATTTTAACAGACATATTTACCAAAATAACACAAAAGCATCTTGAAATACTAAAGAGCAAATCTATTCAATAAAATCACCATTGGCTTTCAACCACAGCCTCCAGACAACTTTGGAATCTCCTGCATTTCTTCTGGATGGTCTCGTTGTTTAAGTTGGTGAATTCAGCCATAATCCTTGCCTTCAGTTCATCTTTGGTGTTACAAGAAGTTTTGTCGGTCTCTCACTCAACTGTTCCTAACACATAATAATCAAGGGGGTTGCAGTCTGCACAATTAGGTGGCCAGATGTAAGATGTAATATGTTTGCAGTAATTGTCTGACAGCCATGACTGGGTTCTCCTGCTTGTGTGGCATGGTGCAGAGTCCTGTTGTCAAACATAGAGTCTTCAGCAGCCACCCTCTTAACCCAGTGCAGCACTACCTCTTCAAGGCACTTCATAATCACCATTAAACTCATCCAATTCTTTCCAAATTCTTTGCACTGTCCTCATATTAACACCCAAACACTCTGAAATGTTTGTATTGGAGCTTCTATCATGAATGGCAAGGAGTACAGCCTGCCATTTCCAAATTTCTTGCAAAGTGAATTGCTTCATTGTACTATTTTTCTCGCAGACGGTGCCCAACTGACCTTACCATACTGTGAAGTCAATAAAATCAAAAACAAAGAACGTGCATGTAATAAATAAAAAATATAGAATGGCAACAATTTATGGCACATAAGAAAAAGAAAGAAGGGAACAAGAATGATTCAAACTTGTGTATGTGGCATAGTGGGTCTCAAGTATAAAGGCTAGGGTTAGTGGGACTAAGGAATGTACGTTGTCAGATTAAAGCAACAAGAGGTTCATGATGTTTCATCTGTGGGAAAGCTGTAGATGGAAAATATTTCAGCACCCACAACATTGCACAGAAAAAAGTTTGCTGATAATTGGCAACAAATCATCACAGATAATGACAAATATATGATTGAATAAAATATAATTGAACTTTACATTTTTAAGAATGAAGTTGCTAAACAAAAATGGAATTTATTTATGACTCAACCTAACAGAGTGTTACACAAGCTTCAAAAATATATGGGAGCTCTAAAGAGGAAAGATGCTTTTGATTTTCCCTAATATAAATGATAAAACTTCAATAAAAATATAACTTGAGAACTTATTCTTAATACAACACAATCTGTCACTTGCATACCACAATGGAGTGTAGTTAATAAAGAAAAATTATGGAAAAAAAATTGTAGTCACACAAGGGAAAAAAATGATCATATCTGAAATGTGCTTATCATGGTAGACATGAAGCCATGGAAAAAGAATAAGAACAAGATGTTAAAATCTACCATACTGAGTCTGTCTGAACAATGACAATGTAACACATACAACAAGTCAGAATTTAAGTAGAATTGAATAACAAGCAGGTGATTGGATAAAATCTTGTCTGAAAAAGGCTGGAAAATGTAATTAGTAAGTCACTGAAAAAAACAGAAAACCGTGAAATACAGTAACGCATTACGGGTCTTATTTGTTTTCAAGATGTGTACATTGACCTTGACTGAGTTCTATCTTGTAGAAATCATTATAGTTTGAGATGTTCTGTGAGATTTGATGGCAGAATAACTGAAGAAAGCTAATTGCTAGCAGTTGTATATATATATATATATATATATATATATATATGTATATTAATTGAAATACAGTATACTAAAGCATATTCAACATGGCTTAATCATATACACGGTGAGATGGATAAATTGTCATCTAAATTACACAAAAATAAAAATAACACTGACATCTTATTTTAACAGACATATTTACCAAAATAACACAAAAGCATCTTGAAATACTAAAGAGCAAATCTATTCAATAAAATCACCATTGGCTTTCAACCACAGCCTCCAGACAACTTTGGAATCTCCTGCATTTCTTCTGGATGGTCTCGTTGTTTAAGTTGGTGAATTCAGCCATAATCCTTGCCTTCAGTTCATCTTTGGTGTTACAAGAAGTTTTGTCGGTCTCTCACTCAACTGTTCCTAACACATAATAATCAAGGGGGTTGCAGTCTGCACAATTAGGTGGCCAGATGTAAGATGTAATATGTTTGCAGTAATTGTCTGACAGCCATGACTGGGTTCTCCTGCTTGTGTGGCATGGTGCAGAGTCCTGTTGTCAAACATAGGGTCTTCAGCAGCCACTCTCTTAACCCAGTGCAACACTACCTCCTCAAGGCACTTCATAATCACCATTAGACTCATCCAATTCTTTCCAAATTCTCTGCACTGTCCGTATATTAACACCCAAACACTCTGAAATGTTTGTATTGGAGCTTCTATCATGAATGGCAAGGAGTACAGCCTGCCATTTCCAAATTTCTTGCAAAGTGAATTGCATCATTGTACTATTTTTCTCGCAGACGGTGCCCAACTGACCTTACCATACTGTGAAGTCAATAAAATCAAAAACAAAGAACGTGCATGTGATAAATAAAAAATATAAAATGGCAACAATTTACACATCACACTGTGTGTGTGTGTGTGTGTGCATATTTAAATATGATGTCAGTCGCTATCTACTGTCCACTTGATTACTCTCTTCTCTTTCAGCTCATCATTAATATTCCTTATTCTTTCACACTCTCTAACCACTTCTGTTTTAGCAGCATTAGTGCCTTGCCTGGGGTGATTCCAATAAAAAAAAAGAGATGTGAATATCTATATTGATATTTTATCTCTATCATTATAACTTGAAGGAAATAATTTGCATGGATGTGTGCGTGGGTTTTGTTTTATTTTACAGATAAAATTATTACTTTTTTTTTTAGTTACAATTATTTTAAATGCAATATTAAAAAATAACAATCTCTCTATAAAATATAAACTACTTCATCATTGCAACGTCAGATATATTTAAGAAAATATAA